ATGATGCCTTTATTAGTACTCGTATGCCACATCTCTCTAAAAAGAGATGTATATTTAGACCACTTTAATGCCGATTACAGAAGAGGGATTCTTATACATGCAAAGACTACTCCGGTCCAAAAGTGGTCTGTTGAATTGGAGGGAGAACTGTATTTTACTGGGCGGCTGTTACGCTCTGCTTATGCTATTAATAGTTTTTGGAAATTCATAGAAGGTAGCGTATTTACATATAATTTTGTATGAAATAAGAAACGAAAATTGAATAATATTTGCAGCAAATAAAGATGAAGTAGGAGAATTTATTATTGATATGATCTGGCAAACAACTCGATTTTTACAACAAAAGAGGGCGTGCAGCGCATGTAAATCACAACACAAAATAATGTTCGGTAAAAAAGGCTATTAGGTGTTAATTGTAAACCTGTCGCCGTTTTCTAATCAGAACATAAATCATCAAAACCAATTTTCTGATATTTTTAGGTAGCCAAAGCCGTACCAAAAGTGGGTTAGGCCTAGCTAGGCCTCTAGCTAGCTATCAACGTACGTACGGCGTACCCGGTGGAGCTCTGTCCTGCAGTGCTAGAGGAGAGTAACTAGCCTGTAGCACAATCACAGCACAGGCCTAGGTAGTAGGCCTAGTTAGTTGGAAGAATGGCAGCATTAGGAAACACCGGCCAAGATAGTGGTCCACATGATATGACGCCGAATTTGTTGTCACTGGTGGAAGAAGCAGAGTCCCTAACAAAGTAAGAATAGGCCTAGGCCTATTTGATTTGAAAATGAATGAAAGAAGAAATTGTCAAAAATTCACAACATTTAATTTTAAATAGTATAGTTACATCAGTCTTAAATGAATTCTTAACTCACTGTGATAGATGTTGTTCATTTGCATGAATAGGCCTAATTAAATTGGATTAGAACAAAATATCCAAGAATTAGGAATTTGTTTAAGATTTCTGTTACTGTTTGTATTGTTTTGCAGGGAACTTTTTAATGCAACAGCAGCAGCTCGTCAAAAACCTCTTAATGATGATCCCCAGGTGAGCCAGTCAATGAGGATATGTTGATGTAGTTAATATAATCAATACATTTTTTTTTAAAATTGAAGTAATATATAATAACAATTTTAATAATAATAATAATATTAATTAATAACTTGCATACACTGTAACAAAATGACAAAAGAAGTTAATAATAATCTAATTAAATTTATTACATAATTTGATAGATAATGGAGATGCTTATGAAGAAAAATGAGGAGATAGAAGAGACACTGAAAAAAACAGAACAACAAAGAGAGAAACGAAAAGAGATGGAGTCACTACAAGAAGAAGTTGATCGCAGAGACTGTGACGTCAAAAACCTGCAAAAGCACTTGAAAGAAGCGGAGCACATTCTGGTAAACAAAATTTCTCATGTATATATTCATTATATTATAAAATATTTTTTAATATATATTTTTTATTTATTATATCATATTTATTTATAAATATATATTTATCATTATATGATATTTATATATTTATATAGGGTATGCTACTGTAATTATATTATTAATTATCATTTATATATTATTTATATATATATATATATATCATTTATATATCTATCATATATCATGTATATATTTATTATGTACGATACATTACATCAGAATTTTTTTTCTGTCAGTTATATATTTAAATATCATTTATATATTTATGTATCATTCATACATTTATTATATATCCCATATATATATTTATTATATATCATTTATATATTTATTTTGTATCATTTATAGGCCTATATTTACTATTATGGTACACTAAATCACATTTTTTTTCTGTCAGACTTCACATTAGTTGATCAGACTTGGTTTAAATGAAGTAGAGCATTGTTCCAATGTCCAAGAATAATGATCTATTTGATCAAATATGTCTGAAACAACAAGTATACACATACCATATAAAGCTCTGTCCACACTATCAAATATTATTTAACTCACACAGACCTGATGCGACAATAAATCATGTCGGGCTGCGTCGTAGGACACTGTCTGAGTTGGCCTTTATGTAAATACTGTATTAGATATAACAGATTATCATTTGGGTATTGGAGCGACTTGTGCAGGAGAGTGGTCATGGGAGGGGAAATTTCATGCATAAAAATAAACTATTAATTATACAGTTTATACCAAAAGTTCACAGTTGTGTAAATATTTCTATTTGAGTGTTCAGATCAAGCATCCAATCAGTAAAGGGAAACCCCCTCAAAAAGTAATGGTTTAGAATATTATATTTTGTTATTAGTTCTTTTATTACTGTTTATACTGTACTTACTTTTAAATAATAAGCCAATTCGTAGCTTAAACTGTGCATGCCCGTATCAAAGTCAATTAACATAAACAATCATACACACAACAAAGGTTTATGTCGATTGACCTTGGATACGGGCATGCGCAGTTCAAACTATGATTGGCTTATTAGTACTGTATTACATTGTCTCCACTAAACAAAAGTCTAACTGGTTCTGTGTAATAATTTCATTATTTTGAATAGAATTACAATTGCATCATTTTTCCCATGTTACTTAGGCAACTGCTATCTACCAGGCAAAGCAGAAACTTGATGCTATAGACCAGGCAAGCAAAGGATCAATATCCTCTGAAGAACTGATCAAGTATGCGCACAGGATCAGTGCAACCAACGCTGTTGCAGCACCCTCTACCTGGTCACAAGGTACATAACTTGAATAATTTTTTTTGTGGGTGGAGGGAGGGGGGGTGGAACTGTCATTTCAGAATTTTGTTTGGCTGAGAGGTATAGTTTCTGCTTTTTGCGCCATAAACCCCAGTTCAAACCTGGCAATCGTCAGGTTTAATTGGAGTCTGGTCACTCGCAGCTCACTGAATAATAATCCTCTAACATTAGAGAGATTAGTGGGTTAAGGAACTGCAGCTGCCGGGGTCGTCAGGGGCCCAGTCTAAATCTTCAGTTTCCAAATGTTTAATTGAATAACCAGGAATCAAGTACAATCAGGTGGAAATAGAAATTTTCCCCCTCTTTTCTAACAGGAGATCCCCGTAGACCCTACCCTACGGATCTGGAAATGCGAATGGGTGCACTGGGCAGGTTCAGTAATCTACCATTACCAACAAGTGACAGCCAGGGAGGAGGAGGGGGTAAGTAATTGAGAAAATACAGGGGTACTACACTCTCAATTATTTTTGGCAGTCTTAAGCACAACAGTAATAATCATTTTTTATCTCACTGCATGGAGTAAAGAAATTTCATTGTCACTGTAAAAACCAAATATGGTAATTTGATTTCCATGCCACAATAATTCATCAACAAAATTTATCAATAAAATAAAAAAGGTGATATAAAATAAACTCATCATCAAAATTGTACTTTCAAATAAAATAATATAACCATGAAAAACAAATTGTAGATCAAAACATGAGATAGTTACAAAACTTCTATTATGCTACTTTTTCTCGATTCTTCATGAAAGAGAAAGTCAAGCTATGTTACTTACAAAACTTGTGTCTGATGTATGAATAAGTACTATACAAAGGTTATTAAGAGTTTCTGTCACTCTCACTTTCAATCACATGAGGAAATCAGATGTTTTTAACTAGACAGTAAACTAGCTATTTTAGACAATAATCAAAGTCAAACATATCATGAAATAATTGTGAAAGTTTAAAAATCCTAAATACATGTGAAAAAAAACTTCAATAAAAATTAATAAACTTAAATTATTCTGGTCATTGGGTCCACATGCTTATGTGTTGCTGCTGTGTCATTCAATAATAGGTAACCCTGTCAGGTACCCATTTATATGCATGTGAGGAGAGAAGCAATGTAGATAAGGAACCTTGCTCAAGGAAGTGGAGTACAGTACATAGCAAAATATTGAAAAAACCCCGACCTCTAGGTTAGAAATGAAAACTGTTTGCACTGCGCCAAACCGCTTTCACACATAAATATACCAAGTCTTTATATGTAAATAGGGCCACTGTAACATCAACCTGTGTCATGCAGTGTATTAACCGGCATTAAATCACCTAAACTATTGTATAAACTAATTTATTTTGCTTCTTTGAAATTCAATTACAGTGTATGTACTGTATTATCTTGGGCTTCTTTTTGAAGCTAATTTTGCAAACTGAAGAGGTGGGCTCGGCTTCTATTCGAGGTTTTACGGTATATTTATTCAACAACTTTGTCATGGCTTTTTTTTTAAAGATGCAATGTCATCAGGGTCAACCTGGCAACCATCGTGTGAAGTGAAAGTTAGTATGAATATTCAGTCGTCCATCACAAGCGCCGATATGCCATTACAACTCTCTACCGGGCAGAACAAAGAAAATGAGGAGGACGTAGAGATAATGTCTACAGATTCAACTAGTAGCAGTTCTAGTGACAGCCCCTGAAGCATGCCCTCTATAGAATCGGAATCAGTGTATGACTTTAATATGTTCCAATGCACTTGCGAATATGGTTATACTCATTTACCGCTATTTCTACGGCTCAACACTAGCCCATACTGTATCTCTGATCTGTTAATGCCATATTTTCCTGGTCATGTTTCACTAAGATCCACCAACAAGTCACTACTGAAAGTTGAGCCGTCCTATTTCTGTTTGTGCTCCAGTTTTGTGGAACAGATTACCATCTGACCTAAAAGAAATCATAGAATCTGACATCCTTTAAGTCTGAACTCGAAACATTTTTATTAAGAAATGTCAATTTTGGGTGCAGAGCGGATATTGGCATGCTACAAATGCTTGATATTTTTTATTATTTATTTTGGTGACTTTGTAAAATTATGAAACGCTGTTAATGTGTAATGATTTCGCTGCAAATTGCACTGCAATGATGTGAAAGTACGCCCTCTATAGAATCACTATCAAGTTTCACAATGGTGAGAAGCACAACTTTATAGAAAGATCAGAAGAAGGCTGGTGTAAAAGAACATTTTTTTCGAAAGTTTGGAAGTTGAATTTCCTAACCTAATAGTAAACAAACATCTCAATTCCATAGAGTATAGTGAGGCAAGTTGGCCCAGAAGTGATCAGGAATGCATCAAAATTGCCACTCTGAAGAGCAGCAATGTCTATGGATTTGATTATAATATTGCAGCAAAATACACACAATTATTGTCATTGCGTATTTGAGTGGCCAGCTTAATTTTAAACATCTCGGGTTAGGAAACCTACTGGCTACAAAGCTTTTAATATAGGTGATGAAAAAAAGAGCCCTGTCCAGACTATCAAATTTTGTTTGAAAATCTGGCTCAGTATGGCTCAAATTGTATTTTTAGACCACAATATTAGGGATTGGCAATCAAAATAACATTATTTGGATAGGCAAATTATCTGACGATCTTGTTGGACAACACTGGGTCCAGGTCAGTCTGACGGGAGGGGTTCCCTCCATGCCCCTTCGCAGTCACCACCACTGTGTGTATGTACATGGATGATCAAAATAATCCAATCTCAACAGAGCTTAAAAGAGTTCCAGACCGATTGCTGATTACAATCATGCATGCACTACGACCAAGCACTTTATTGGTATGTGTACCTGGTATGATGTATATTCATAAAATTAATGCAGAGATTTAGTTGAAATAGTGATTTGATCAAATAATAATGAATATTCATTAAATTGTTGAATTATTCATAATCTGATATTTGTATTCATTTCAATAGTAGTAGAGCGGCTAAGGTTGAATTTCAGGTAGAATCGTGCACTTCTGGAAGAAATCATGAAACTTCCCATAGTGATACTATGACACCTAAAGATCATTAAAAAAATAGACCCCAAAAAATTAACGCCTCCTAATGGCCGCCATCTTGAAATCCAATATGGCCGCCAAAACAATTGATTTTTAAGCCAATATATTCATATCTACAGTACATGTCATTGCCAATTGAAGATCATTACCCATGTTTTCAATATCAAGGAGTGTAATGCAATCATCAGAAATTATGTCAGATGACGCCGCCCTATTGGATTTCAAGATGGCCGCCAAATAAATGATATTTTTGTCGATATTCATATCTACATGTGTACCTACCACTTTCAATCAAAGACTGTTGCCTATATTTTCGATATCAGGGACTACTATACAGCCATCAGAAATTATGTCAGAAGACCACCATATTAAATTTCAAAATGACCGCCATCTTGAAATTTAATATACGATACGATACGATACGATATTCTTTATTGTCATTTGAACAACAGGGTACAAATGAAATTCAAGTGATTGATCAAGGTACAATTTCAGAGAGGAATAAAGAAAAAAGTAAACTAACAAAGAACTCCAAAGAG